GAAGGGTCTCTTCCGACACGCAAGCCGAGAGGCTGGCTGGCTGGTGGGCTTCCGCCGCCCCGCCCAGGGCATTGTGGGTAGAGAGTGAGAGAGAGAGAGAGATGGTGGGCCTCGGGCAGGGAACGGGGAAGGGAGGAGCTCTGCCAGGCCAAAGAGACCGAACGAAAGGGTGAACCGCGAGACACGTCCGGTTCCTTGAGGCGCAAGCATTTAGAAACCGAAGAGTGGAATAGAAAAAAAAAAGGACCTTCGTTGAAAGAGAAAGAACAAAGAGCCTTGGGAATCCATCATCATCATCATCATCATCATCATCATCATCATCATAATACCAGTCAATGTTTTTATCATGTGGATGAAACATGCCTCGGTGGCCCCCCTCGTCACTGAGGCTTTCGGAACCATATTAAGAACTTTCTCACAGTATTTTAAGCAGAAATTACACCATTGGAGCTACAAAAATCAGCAGTATTAGGAACAGTGTCTCTAGTATGTCGATATTTAACAGATACTTAGTTTTTTTGTTAAAAGCGTGTATATGTTATATAATACCACTGCATGTTTTTATAGTTCTGATCGACTGAGATATGGGTTTTTGAATCATCATCATCATCATCATCTTAGAACCGCAGAGGTAGAGGGGACCCTGTGGATCATCCAGTCCAGCCCCTGTCAAGGAGGCACAGTGAGGAATCGAACTCCCAAGCCAGATACCTAAACCATTGAGCTATCTAACAGTTGTAAATTTAAATTCAAAAGTTTCTTATGTCACCAGCCTTTTTGCATCATTTAGGAAGAAGGTGCTTCCAGATGACGTCTGGGTTCTGTCATTGCTCTGCAAAATTCACAGTATTTGGGTGCAGAGGTATGGAGCGTTTACATTTGTTTATTTTTGTACGTATTTGTTTATTCATTTATGTTTAATTGCATTTGCACTTCTCCAGAGGTTTGTGAGATTTTTACAAGCTTTGTACTACAACTCCCAAAATCCCCCAGGATTAATGCTACTGGGGAATTCTGGGAGTGGTAGTCTATAAGTCACAAATCCATCAGACTCCTGCAACTACTGACAATGCAGATGATAAACAGAGCTTAGACACATTTTTTTGGGGGGTGGTGGTGGTGGTATTGCCTGGACATCCCTGTGTTCAAAGTCAAAATCTAAAATGTAAGACAGAAGGAATAAGGGAAGTGGCGGGAGAAAGGGAAAAATACTATCAGGGTGTTAGGTCCTGGGGAGATAAGAGGGTATTGATTGGCCTCTTATTTAATCCCAGTATCCAGGATAATGGGCATTGGAATCACCTATGGACTATGACTCCCAGAATGCCCCCAGCCACATTGACTGAGGAGGAATTCTGGGAATTTTAACCCCAAAAAAAGGAACTTTCCCTACCTCTGCTTTTTTTCTTTGTTTGTTCCTGGAAAAAAGTTCTTAAGGAGTCAACAAAGGACAAAAGGGACCCCCTCACCACTGCAGGAGTATACTGGTTACCTTGCAGTTGTGGGCAAGTATATATTGGAAGTACAAAACACAGCTATTGCCATTGCAAAACGATGGTTCCAATGGGGGAAATCCGCATTACTGTACGTTGATTAGGAGCCTGCTTCGCGAACCGTTTGTTCGCTAAATGATGATTTTTCCAGTTCCGCAAAATGGCTTCCCTCCGCGAAATAGCTTCCCTCTTTCCGGACCCCTGCTTCAGAAGACAGCAATTCTAAAAGAGATTGGTGGTTCTCTTTTTTTGCTTGACAACGATTTCGCTTAGCAGCAATTTCAGGGAAACGGATTATCGTCATCAAGCAGGGCACCACTGTACTGAAGTACTGGACAACACCAGCAGTCATTATGTTAGACTGCACAGAGAAGCCATTGAAATCCACAAACACCAGCAGAGCTTCAACAAAAAAGAAGAAAGTATAAAACTCAACAAGGCCTGGCTCCCAGCACTGACAACTGCAGCTGTCAAAAGGTCAACGAACTCTACCCAGCCACAAGGACTGGTGGTCACTGCACACAAAAGACCAGCTAACGACACCCATCAATCACAGTGACAGATAATCTCTCCCCCTTATCACAACAATACACCCACACAAAAAAACACGCTGATCACCATAATCACCCAAGCTCCTGAAAAGGACAAAAGTTGATCCCACAGCTATAAATACTCAACTATCCAAACAAACTGCACCAGAGCACAGACAGAGTTCTGACTCTTGCCCTCTGAAGATGCCGGCCACAGAGAGACTGGCGAAACGTTAGGAAGAACAACCTTCAGAACACAGCCAAAGAGCCCGAAAAACCCACAACAACCATCAGATCCCAGCTGTGAAAGCCTTTGAGAATACATCTTCCTCTTTTCCTGCTGCCTTCCACCTTTCCCAGCATTGTTGTCTGCAGAACCAGTAGCAAACTCTACATGCCAGCTTTGTCCTCCAGCATTCATCCCACTGTGTGTAACAAAACTGCATATCAAAAACACTACATCAAGGAGAATCCACATTTTTTTTGCATAATGAGGTTGTAATTTAACTAACAGAAAGCAGCCAAAAAGCAGTGTAGCAACCACTTTTCAAATACTGTAACAGGTAATGGGAACAAATTACTTATAAAAAGTAGCATGCCAAGCTATGTCTTTCTCTTCAGGCAGGCTTTTCCTTAGTGACTCACTGTCTAGGAGATAATAAATGGGATGGCTTAGAATTTGTTGCTCCTAAATCTGTTTTGGGAATGCGTTTACCTAACACATTTAATGCAGTGCTATCAATTCTTCTTTAATATTTCAATAATTTATTTTTTAAGCTTTTAATGTTGTGCTTTTAATGATGTAAGCTGCTTTGGTTATTTTTTTCAGGAGAAAGGTGGGGTAGAAATATTACACTCAGAGAGACAGACAGATAGACAGACAGACAGATAACATTATTGGATGAATGGATGGATGGATAAATAGATGATAGATAGATACAGTACCGTGTTTTTCTGTGTATAAGACACCCCCATGTATAAGACACCCCTCACCTTTTCTAACCCAAAATTAAGAAATCTAAGTGGGGCTTAGCAAATGTATGGGGAAAGGGATCAAAGATTTTAGACAAAAATATAATTATATACAGGAAAAATACAATAGATAGATAGATAGATAGATAGATAGATAGATAGATAGATAGATAGATAGATAGATAGATAGATAGATAGATAGATAGATAGATAGATAGGGTGGACACTTGGGGAGGGAGTTAGGTTTAAGACATACACCCTAGTCTAAAAGTCTAAATTTTTCTCATCATTTCTCTCTTGATGGGTAAACTTCCTTCACTCTCTGCTTCCCAGTTCCAAGTGCTGACACAAGCCATTACTGACCAGATATCAGCCATGCAAAACCTCCAATTATAGAGCAATGCATACCACTCATTTAAAGCCAGGGATGGGGAATGGTGCTGACAAGCCCCCTAGCACTGAGTTTGAGTCCAGCCAATTTTAATTCTGAAATGATCAGCTTGGGATTCTTTGCAAAGGCCGCAGGGACGTCTCTACTAATGGAGCTTGGTGGAAAAGCAATATGAGGAGGAAGCATCTGTCAGGAACCTATTGCTGAGCAACAGGGCTCCCCTCCGGTGCCCCACGTCACATTATGGACGGAGCAGCAGCGGTCAGTTCAGAACTGTCATCAAGCTGTCAGCCCAATCTCATGTTGTCTTCTGGAATGACCACACAACCGTCCATTTCGCCTTCTGATTTGTCTCTCATAAAGGATCGGAAGACTTGGGGGAAGCTGACAACAGCTGTAGGACTTCCAGATGAGTGGGGTTTTAAAAATATTTTTTGTTGTTTCTAAGTTACATTTATCACCTAACTTTCTTCCAATGGGCTTCAAGCAGTCTGTCTAAGCTTTTGTCTACCTTCATAACAGCCCTGTGAGGTAGGCCAAGCCAAAAAAGAAGGTGACTAATTTAAGGTCACCCAGTGTGCTTCTCCTCCTGAGATAAATCTCCCGTGTTCGCTACTGTAGTCCCTCTTAAGACTCTTACGTACTATGTTAATATAGTGAGGGTGCTTTAGAAAAAGCGAAGGATCTTCTCTCATTCTCTTACCGTGTTTCCCCGAAAATAAGACCTAACCTGAAAATAAGCCCTCGTAGGATATTTCAGGAGGCTCGTAATAGAAGCCCTACCCCCAAATTAAGCCCCAATGAAGTGAAACTTCACCATCCACCCTTGTGTAGCCACCAGGAGATGATACTGTCTTTGAATAGATTGCTTTACATGAAAAAATAAATAAAACATCACCTGAAAATAAGCCCTAATGCATTTTTGGAGCAAAAATTTGATATAAGACCCTGTCTTATTTTTGGGGGGAAACGGTATGTGCACAATAAAAAACCCAGCCTACCATGGGGTGGGGTTTTTTGCACCTGAAGTGGTGCTGAGGAATTTTCTGTCGATACAGGTAAGAATTTTTGCACTTGTGAGAAAAGATTTCAGCACTAATTGTGCCAGGGTGAGTCCCTGTGACAGCTGCGAGTTTGTCGCTTAACTTTTAACAAGGAAATCTGATGCGTCTGCCCATCTCCTAGTCCTTTTGTGTGTGCTCTGTGTGCGTGGGCACACACATGCGTTCCTTCATAAAGGAGAAAGGCACCTGTTTGACACAGACTTACAGTAACAATCTTTTGATCCAACTCCAGGAGGCAGTGGAAGACAGGAGGGCCTGGCGTGCTGTGGTCCATGGGGTCACGAAGAGTCGGACACGACTTAGCGACAAAACAACAAATGATAACAATCACAGGGCCGTCAAATCAGTTCTGCCTTATGGCAA